GAACTCCTGAGCTCAAACGATTCGCCCGCCTCGGCCTCCCATAGTGCTAGGATTACAGGCGTGAGCCACCGCGCCCGGCCGATGTAATATTACTATTTTCCCTTTGTAATTACAAGTAATTTATGGAAGACACTTTTACTGTGTAAACGTCCTATTTCTATAGTTTTACCAGTCATTAGTGATTTTCTAACTCCATCATGTTTATTAGTTGGCATTCTACTAAAAGGAAAATTTCCCTTCTCCTCATTTATTTATTCATGTCTTTATGTCAGTAAAGACCCATGGATTACTATTTTACTCAATTAGTTATACTCTATTACTCTCATGTTCGTATTTCGATGCTGAAATTTCCCCAATTTGGCCAATGGGATCTCCTTCAAGTTAGCTCCTGTGTCCTTTGACACCTTTCCATCACTCTTATTACCATCATTCTTACATTCTGGTGCAACGATATGTTCCAAGCTTATCCGGTACTTTCAGGAGTCAACCTTTTCTTCCAGAAGCCCCGACTCCAGGCTCTTTGAAAAGCCAATACACACACCTCAAGTTCCTCCGCTTCCTGTCCGCAGGCGGAACCTTAGAGCTCCGGACCTACCCCGGAACGGTGCAGCGGTCCAACCTCTTCCGGTTGAGGCCGGAAGTCCCTCCGAGAGGGTAGGCTCTGCGTCAGGTGACCGGTGTCCGCGTAGGAGGCGCGGAACGTCTTGCCCAATAGATTGACCTGGCTGTAGGACTGGCCAGTTGGTCCACAGATCGATAGGCTGGGCGGCCCGGGCAGCGTTAACTGCGCGGAGGCAGGTATGTCAGGGGCTGAGGTGGCGGCAGGGGTCGAGGTTGGGGAACGGGGGCGGGAGACCGAGTTCTGCCTTTCCCAGGGCTCACGGGCTACGACACTCGAGGGGACTCAGAGACAACAAGCTTGTCCTTGCCCCTGGGCCCTCCGCTTCAGAAGAGAGGTCGGGCAGGCGTTGTGGTCTTCCGTCCAATGATTACAGACTGGGGGAACTGAGGCCTTGAGAAAGGAAAGGGCTCACCCTAATTCCCTTTCTATCCACAGTACGGGGCCGCCTCTCTCTTGTGGGGGGTGTGTTTAACGTGTTTGCCTGGAGTGGAGAGACAGAGGCTGGGGAGCATGGTGAACAGAGTTGGGCTGAGAGTAAGAGACCCCGATTTGAGACTTTGTCACCGACAGCCAATTTTGCGTTCTGGGCCAAATCCTTTCCCCGTGCTGGGCCTCAATTTCCTTATTTGTAAACCCGGACAGTGTTTCTTAAAATGTGGTTCTCACACCATCTGCTTTGAAATCCCATGGAATGCCGGTTTTACAGTGCGAGACTCAAATCAGACATATCTGAATTAGAATGTGGGTAGGAACCTGGGAAACTGCGTTTTGAATTTATGCCTTGGAGGTCCTGTACATACTGATGTTTGAAGCCCATTGATCCTAAGTGCCTTCCTGCTGTGAGTACTAGATTTCCGTTCTTCACTTTGAGGCAGCTGGAGCCAGTTCAGGAACTTTGAAAGAACTGGAAGGTTTAGCCCAGAAAAGAGAGCACTGGAAAGCAACTGTTTTCAAAAACTGAAAAAATTGTCATGGCAAAGAGGGCTTCCACTTCATCTTTGGGGTTGAAGGAGGCAGAACTAGGACTATTAGGTGGCTTCTACAGGAAGACAAGATTTTTACTTAATAGAAGAATCGTCAGAGGTCACCAGCGATGGAATGGATTGCCTCCAAAGGAATACCTGTTGAGGGAGGTGTACAGGTATTAGATGGGTCCTTTCCAACTTGAAAGTCTCTAAGTAGTTATTCTGAATATTTCTGGTGCTGACTGTGCTCTCAGAGTGAATGTGACTTTTCATTTTTCTGCTCTCTTTTCTTGACATTTCCATACCCTTAGCCTACCTCTCCTGTAAGTGAGGCCAACACATCTGACCTTATGTAATCTTTTCCTGGTTGTCATGTGCACCATCCTTCTTTTGGAGGACTTTGGAACGACCAACATCTGGTAGAGGCGCCTTAAATGTTTGTCGAATTAATAAGTAAACAGGACCTCACCCCATGGGTTAGTAGCTTTTTCTTAGAACAACTTGGAAATGCCTCTGAAGACTTTTTTGTGTTCGATCAGGAGAAGCCAGTGAACTCCTTGGATCATAGAATTGAGGAGTCTCAGTTAGGAAGGCACCTCGAGGTTGTTCAGGCCTGCTTTTCCCCTGTAACATAAACCCTTCTTTAATCCTCTCTCCAGCCATATGCGTATATATGTAAGAGAATTTTGCAGACTGTAGCCTACCTTTACATCCAGCATGTAAAACCAGTCCTCTTTTGGATTTGACTTGCTAATTTATCCTCAATTACATATAATCCACAGATGATGCATCTAGTATATCTTTAGTTTTCTAATCAACATCAAATTTCCATGTTTTGTGCTTTACAAAACTCTAAATCACTTTTCAACACCTGTTAGAATGCTTAAGAATGCTTATGTTGTCTTATGGAGCAGAGGTTCCATATTATGACCCAATTTTGTTGATTATCCTCTTCCCCCCCAAAATGGTTGGGGTTGATTTTTTTTTTCTTTTGGAGACAGAGTCTTGCTCTGTTGACTGGGATAAAGTACAGTGGTGTCATTGTAGCTCACTACAACCTCACACTCCTGGGCTCAAGCAATCCTCCTGCCTCAGCCTTCCAGTAGCTGGGACCATAGACATGCACCACCATGCCAGCTAATTTTTCTACTTTTTGTAGAGACAGAGTCTTGCTCTTGCTCAAGGTG